TCTTTGATCCATTTTTTGGAATAGGCAAAAATCGAAGACGAGCCAAAACACGTGCAAGCAAAGCAGCTGTCAAAAATTAACTGAACATTCAAAATGGCCGAACTTGTCGGCATAAGTGAGAGACATGAGTACCAACATAACGCCACAAAAAATCGAAAATCGAATATACGTAATCCGCGGAAATTCAAAATTCGCGATACTTTTTGAACAGACCTCGTATATCCATACGATATTCTACTAATATTCATAAATAAATATATCCATAAATGTCATATGTATGCGTATTCGACGTACACACATAAAATGTACAAGATGTGTGTTCTATGTACATTCCAGCTCTCTCTCTCTACCATCTCGAATGGATATACATGCTCACATATAACCATACGATATTTTATGAATATTTATAAATGAATATACATTTCTGTATACTCTATGTAAAGGATGTCCCAAAATTAACGCAAGATTTGAATTAAATAGAAAACACAGTTTTTAGTCTTTTGATTGTTATTTTTTTATTGAATCATAAAGTACACAGGACAGGGTTATTTGTGGAATAACACATCGGGCAAATGGCCTCCACGGCTTTGCATGCACATACGCACTCGTTTGTCGAAATTTTCCATGACCATTTTGCATAAATGTGGCTGAATTTCGTTGATGCAGCGTTGAATCTCCTCCTTTAATGCACGGGTGGTTGTGGGCTTGTTGACATAGACCTGTGATTTCAAATAACCCCATAAAAGATCTAATGATGTGATTAAATCACACGATCTAGGGGGCCAATTCTGATCACCTAAACGAGAGAGTACACGACCTGGAAACGTCTCATGCAGTAACTGAATTGTTTCACGAGCTGTATGGCATGTGGCACCGTCTTGTTGAAACCACATATTGGCCACATCAATATCATCCAATTTCGGCAGAAAGAACTGTGTTATCATGTAGCGATATCGAGCACCAGTAACAGTCACTGCTTGACCAGCCTCATTTTAAAAAAAGTATGGTCCATTGATGCCTCCAGCCCAAAATTCACACCAAACAGTGACACGTTGTGGATGCATTTGTTTTTCGACAATCACATGTGGGTTCTCCGTACCCCAAAAGCGACAATTTTGGCGATTAACAAAGCCATCAAGGTGAAAATGTGCTTCATCGCTTAGGATGATTTTGCTCGAAAAATCAGCATCCATTTGTTGATGTTCAATAATCCATTCAATGAACTCTCTTCGCTGTGCATGGTCATTAGGCTTCAGTTGTTGTGTTAGTTGAATTTTGTAAGCATGGAGACACAGATCTTTAGTGAGTATACGCTGTAGAGAGCTTCTTGAAATTTGCAATTCTTGTCCACGACGCCGAATTAAGGTTCCTGGATTGTCACCGACACTCTCACGCACTGCTTCGATATTGACATTTGAACGGCTTGTTTTTGGACGACCAGTGTGTTTGGCGTCTCCAACTAATCCAGTCTCCCTGAATTTTTCAATTAATCTCTTCATAGTTGACGAAGTTAAAACACTATTCCGACCATATTTTGTATGAAATTTTCGAACTGCGGCTGCCAAACTTTCATTATTTTTGAAATATTGTTCAATAATGAACACACGTTGTTCTATCGTGTAACGCTCCATTTTCACTAACCCTAAACTGTCAGCTGTTAAATTGTTTTTTTTTGGATTGCCAACACTTTACTGCACAAATGGCGGCAAATTCAAATCTTGCGTTAATTTTGGGACACCCTTTATATACATGACAAATATATGATAATTTTTCACATTGCAGACATTACATGTACTCGTATATACATAAAATATCCAATGTTCCAATGCGTTTTCTAGTTATTTAATGCCTTATTCTTTTCTTTAAAAAATAAATAAAAAAATTTTCATATTACTTAAATTCTTTTTATGACAATTTTTATTACGTTTTTTTGTTCGGATAAAGCACTTACTATTTGACGCCTTATTCTTTTCTCTTTTTTTAAAAGTTACATATCACTTAAAGTTTATTTTACGGTACAACATTTTTGTTCCTCTATAGATGAAATCTTTTTCTGTATAGAAAAATCTTTTTCTGTATAGAGCATGTATTTGCCGTCTTATTTTTACCTTTTTATAAAAGATAATTTTTTTATTGATAAATATAAAACCGAGTTAAACCATGAAATCTTTAATACATTTGATTATGCAAGTAAAATGTATATTTTATAATTTAAAGTATTTGCATTTTACTTTTACACAGATTAAAACATAACAGCTTGCTAAAAATTCCAAGCATATGAATTTGGACATCTGGTTAAATGTGGTTTCTTGCACCTGAAATCTTATTATTATATATCCTAAATACATTTGGAGTTCCAGATAAGTTCCACGTCAACTCTTGTTTGCAAATTTCGTTCTGTCCGATACGTATATTTCGAGATAATTCAAATTTGTTGCAAAGAAATTCCGTTATTTATGTCCCGCAAAGATATTCCGTTAAATATTTAGAGTTCCAGATCCAACTTTTGTCAACGAATCTTGTTTTGTCCGATGCATATTTTAAGTTTATTATCTTATTTCAATTGAGTACGAATCTTCATGCAATTGCAGATCCATCTTTTATTGAGAAATTTATAAGAAGTTGTCACTAATTTAAACACAGAAATACTTAAATAAACCGAATTATATTTTCTTATAAAAACCAGTAAACTTTATGTCGTAAATTCCTTGCAATACCCAATGTATTTGAAACTGCGGATGTAAACAACATTTTTATCTGTGAATCCAACTATGTACTATGAAATAAAAATGCTTATACAATCAGATTTAATATTTACTTGGATGAACTTTATGCCAGTTAAAGCCTGATTTGTCTATGTCTATCCTGATGTGAGCGTATGCCACTTTTTATTTGGACATAATTGGAATTTTTAGCAGGGTAGCTTTAATATGCACTCTCAGTAACACAGCGCTTGCAAATCGCTAAAAAAGCGATTGTACGCTTTTTTCAGCGCTCTGTTAACGCTTTATAAGCTCTGTATGCATGGGATTAAGGGCTCGCAAACAAAATTCCATAACAGTAAGCGTAAACTTAAGCCGATGAGTCAATTAGGATATTGCTTTAGATCTATGTAAAATGACGGAAATAGAAATGGGAGTAAACTTATTCATAAGACAAATTTTAACCGGTTGAAATTTGCTTTATCCTCCAGATTACGTAGATCTAAAGCAATATCTTGATTGACTCATCGATTTAAGTTTGTTTTATGATTTAGAAATTTTGTCTGCGGTAGCCCTAATGCGCACCTGTGAATTCAATCAAATTTGCTATTAGATTATAAATTGTACTTTAATAATATTCATGATAATATTTATGAAACCGGCTTTAATAAATTGACTATCAAGAAACAAAGGAAACATATCATCATTAATTTCATTTTCATTGAAAACAAATAATTTGTGAGAATATTTTTTATTGAATTGACGCGATGAAGAAATGGTTCTCTGTACCGAATGTTACAGATATCGTTTCAGACCATCCAGTATTGCTAACATTTCACAACAAAGTAATTAAATATGTAAATATTTGTTTATATTTTTATATAAATTATAAGTTAAGCAAGTTATATGAATTAATTTTTATATAAATAAATTATAATTGTATTTTATATAATTTGCATTTTATCTTATGTCATTTTCCTGCAGTTTATATGCTGATATATTATTTTTATATAACATATTCTAATTTTTGACTTTTTAATAAGGAAATATGGACTGCGTTAGAAGCAGCATTAGCAAAAGCTAAGAAGGTTTATTATGAAAAATTTCATATCTATTCAAAAGAATGCAAAGTAACAGAAGAGCAAAATTTGTTGTTTAACAAGATAAAAGAGATCGTTGAAAAAGTATCTGTTACTGGCTTGCTT